AAGCAGTGGTATCAACGCAGAGTACTAACTCCCAGCCCCGTAGGTGAACTCAGCAAAAAAGTACTGAGGATATACGGTGGCAGTGCGAAACACTTCTATCTTTTTTATAAAGCTGAATTTCTGTTTGTCTGTCTGTATGTCTGTATGTATGTACGTATGTTCCGAATAGAAATTTTTATTTCTAAACCGATTCGGACCAAACTCCACATACACTTCGGGGCGGGATGGTTTCATAAGCTACTTTTCGTCATCGTTATTGATTTTTATCGATTTTTTGCAGAGTTCACCTACGGGAGTTGGCACAGGGGAGTGGGGGTAAGTGAGCATGGCGATTCCGAATACAATAACAGTTTCCAAAATAATCCATTACTTTTATCGATTTTATCGATTTGCTCAAAATTGGAGCTGAAGGGCTGGGAGTTGGCACAGGGGGGTAAGTGGACATGCTGATTATAAGTAAAATATTAGTTTTTGAAATTAACCGTTCTATCGATTTTATCAGATTTTTTGCAAAGTTTGAGCTACGGGGCTGGGAGTTGGCACAGAAGGGTAATCGAGCATGCTGACTACTAATATAGCGGGAATAGTGAATTGGCATGTATGTGCATAGGGGAAGGTTGTACTGGAGGGATGAGAGATTTATCACAGTGTTTTGACAGAGCCGGGCGGAGCCGGGTAAGTTAGCTGGTAGGAAAAATAAGCGAGACTTATGGATATCGAAATCTTCGATAGGCCATAGTTCTTTGGGATCAAAAACCTCACAACTTTCACATCCCTCTCCTTCTGTTAAAAACATGCCTAGCTGCACCATGATAGTGCAATTCCTCAATACAATTTTCCGACGTTTTCATCGCTTTTCTGAGGCGGTAGACGACCTTGGCAACAAGGTATGTTAGAGGTCTCAAAAATCTCAGATTATATGACAATGACCTAGCATCAACTATGCTAAGTCATCAGGGTATGAAAACTTTCAAAAGATAGATAAGACAAAAAAGATTGCAGTCCAGAGGGGATATGTGGCGTCCCTTCATGTCAAGAAACCGCTTTGTAAGTGATAGGATGTAGCACAAGTGTGCTCGTACTCTTCATTAGAGGGTTGCTGACTCAACTTTCACAAGCAGCAATTTTGCGCTCTTGTTTTGAACCGCAATTCTATTTAAGAATTTTCATAGGGATT